CGGGCTGGTGCGCGCCGAGGCTCCTGCGCGGAGACCGGCTCCCTTCGGAAGTGGACCCGGCCGAGGGCGCGACCGAAACTCGATCTCCCACACGCCGGGGCCGACGGAAGCTGGCGAGCGGCGGCGACGCGAGGCGGCTGGGAGGTGGCTGCGGCCGCACAGCGCTAGGCAATGCACTCGACCCTCTCCTTCTCCACAGACCCAACTCTGCCACCCGCCGCCGGCCCCAATATGGCGTCAATAACAACGCCGCCGATTCAAATCCTGCGGCTCCAGGGCGCCTGCGCACGAGGGGCGGGCCGGGGCGGGCCCACCCGAGTGCATTCTGGGATTTGTGGGGTTTCGCTAAGGGTTGAAATCCGCCTGAAAGGCGGTTACTGAGAAGTCACAGAAACTACGACTCCCGTCATTCAAGGCGCGCGGTCCCGAGTTCCGGGTTGAAATTTAAATACCCCCTCATAAGTAAGAGTAAAACGATGTAAGGAAGAGAAAAAGGAGTCTCTGAGACAGTGGAAAAGAGGAAACGAACCCCCTAGAAAACGCAAGCTAAGCAACTTAGAGATCCCGTTAAGACTCGGCATAGTAACTTAAACGGGAAATAGCAAACAGCTAATTTAATAGCCTGAGAGAGATTAATTTAGCTATCAAAAGCGCCCAAAACCAAATCTGTCACATGGAGAGAATAGGAAATAATGAAATCACCAATTTGGGACCATGAGACAGAACAACAGTAATAAAAGATTACAGGATCTTTGGAATCTATGCTTTGCATTTCCCAGATAGCTACTTTATGCTTATCGAATTCTACAAAGCTGAAAACGAGTAACATTTGAACGAAGCACAAGAGCAAATTATTTTACTCTGAGCAAAAAGCACTTGACACCAGCAATTAGTTGAGTTTGGAAGGTCGGGCGGGGTCTGCGGAAAGGCAAACAAATGCTTAGAGAGAAGGACCCATTTGTAAGCAAAAGGGAAAATGTTTCTAAAATGTATATATTTAATCCAATGTCTAAAATAAGGACCAAATGCGGCATCGATGAAGTTATTTATGTCCATGCTTTCTATCTTCTGCCTGTGGATGCTAGCGTTACAACGTTACTTGACTACCATCAAATGATTATAAATGTTAACTTTGTCTAACGCTCCCTTATTTCTGCCGATTACTCAGAAATCAACATATGTAGCCACTTTATAGTGGTTTCGGACAGTAATTCGCTATCTCCATTTGTTTAGAATTGTTCAGTACCACAAAGATCAGCCCACTTGATCGCACTGTATAAGCAGCTGAGCCGTGCTTATTTTAATTTAGAATGTACTCTTTACAAGGTATCTTTTGGGAAAGACCGGCACCCTGTGAAACAATCGCTTTAACTAAGGCATTTACTGAGGAACTGTTTATTAAGGTCTGAACAATCCACGAAATCTGCTATTATGATGAAACTGAGCACATACGCATATTTTGTGTGAAAAGCAGAAAGAGAGAGGTTCTTGAGGAATATTTCTATTTTAGTTTTTGTGATAAGGTGTGGTGTATCCCACCCAGGCTGGCCTCAAAATCTCACTGCCAAAGATGACCTTGAACTTCTGAACCAACTGCCCCTACCTCCCGAGAACTAGGATTAAGATTCCCAGCATGTGCCATCATACTCAGTGTAGGTACTGCCAAGGGTGAAAGCAAGCACTCTAGCTACTAAGCTATAGCCTCTGTGTGACTGGATTTCTTTTACCGCTAAGATCTGACCATAGTAACATGGAAGTAGAAAGGGAACCATGGGCGGGACAAATTGAGGCTGTGTGGACGAGGGGAAGAGAAATGTGTGTGCCGTGAAAGCAAAACAGAACTGCCAGGGGTCGAAGGATAAAGGCCTGGAGGGAGCAACAAAAACGAATTAGGTGTGAAAGTGTCATAATGAAAGCTATTGCATTGTATGCTAATAAACAAGAAGTTCAGTAATCAATAACACAATTGTGTAGAACTCAGAAAGAGAAATCTGTAAAGATTACAAGAGTTAGACATTCTACTGGGAATATCCGTATACCTAACAGAGTTGGCTCGTTTATGCTTCTAGTTTTTATTTTTATTTTTTCAGGTTTTTTTTGTTGTTGTTGTTTGTTTTTGTTTTTGTCTTTTTGAGACAGGGTTTCTCTGTAGCTTTGGAGCCTGTCTTGGAACTAACTCTTGTAGCCCAGGCTGGCCTTGAACTCACAGAGATTCACCTGCCTCTACCTCCCAAGTGCTGGGATTAAAGGCGTGCGCCACCACCCGGCTCTCTTCCTATGTTTTTAATTGATGTATTTATAATAGTGTGGGTTTCCTTTAATTCTTGACTCTCTCTGGTTTAAGTTAAAACATGGCTGAAGCAGTTTCAGTTGGAAAGTTGGAAATTCTGTCAGTAACAGTAATTCTCTCTGTTTCTCTCTCTCTCTCTCTCTCTCTCTCTCTCTCTCTCTCTGATGTTTTTTCAAGACAGGGTTTCTTTGTGTAATCCAGTGTTTCTCTGTGTAATCACTCTGGCTGTTCTGGAACTCACTCTGTTGGCCTCTAACTCACAGAGATCTGCCTGCCTCTTCCTCCTGGGTCCTGGGTTAAAAGGCGTGCACTACCACCAACCTTGCCTGTAATTCTCTTTTTATTAGGCCTGCCGCTATAGGAGGATCAGGAGCTCATGTTGACCAAACAGCAACTTTGTGACAATCTTGGGCTATATGGATTCTGGCTCAACAACAAACGAGTTCATACTAGAGTAGTGGGACTTTCAAATCCATTAAGACCGATCTCTTAATAAAAAGGCAAAAATAAAGACAAAATACAGATGCTTATGGTGACAGAGGTCACAGTGAGGCATTTGCAGCTGAGTAACAGCAGTGAGAACCTGCTTGACACCAGTAAGTAGGAGACAGGCAGGAGACAGGTTCTCCCTTACAGTCCTCAGAAGGAGCCAACCTGATAACACCTAGATCTTAGAAGTCTAGCCTCTAGAATTTTGAGGTCATACATTTGCGTTGTTTAAATCACCCAGTTTGTGGTACTTAAAGCAGCTATAAGAAACTACTCCATGAGGGTTGTGATCATCATTTTAGATGATAGAAAGGTTGTATGTAATCCTGATAGGACTGGGCCATGTCCCTTCTGCTAGTGACTAAGGAGTTCGTTGAGAAATTGAGAGGCCCAGGAGCATCTGTCACTGCGGACCTCTGTATATGTACTGTGCTCTCTGGTCTGTACTTTCACCAGACCACTGGCCTTGGAAGACAGCAGGGCTAGCATGAATGAGAATGTCCCATAGGCTCATAATCTGGATGCTGAGCCATGGGGAGGCGGGGAGGAGGGCTCCCTGAAAGGATTAGAAGGATTAGGAGGTGTGGCCTTGTTGGATGAGTGTGTCACTGGGTGGTGGGCTTTGAGATTTTTCAAAAGACAACTCCCCCCAATCCAACTGTTTCTCTCTGCCTGCAAATCATGATTTAGTTCTCAGCTGCTACTCCAGTACCGTGCCTGCCACCTATGCTCCAGCCACGATGATAATTAACTAGACCTCCGAGATGTAAACAAGCTCCCAATTAGATGCTTTCTTTTATAAGAGTTGTCTTAGTCATGGTGTCCCTTCGTAGCCAAGGAACAGTGACTCAGACAACAGCTTAGGTATCAGCTGCTACAGGACCCCTTCCTCAGTGCCTCATGACTGAGAGTCTCATCCACAGACCTTCACCTCATCCTCACTGCATTGCAAAATCGTCTCTCAGGATCTGCCTCTCCCTCACTTCATAAACATCCATTGATTGTTTAATTTTTTTTTCCATTCTGTCCTCTCAAGAACCCACATTATACTTTAAAGTTATCTTCAAAATTGCTTAACAAGTCTTTCAGGGCAGAAAAAAAAACTTGCAGAGAAAAGCAAAAGAAAAGAAAAGAAAAGAAATATGACTCTTAAAAAAAACATTCAGTTTTAACATAATTTAACATAACGTTTAGAAATGAATTTTGAGTTTATGCATCAAAGGGAAAAATTAACACAATAAGTTAAATTAGGTCATGTAGATCTAAATATATAGTACAATTAAAGGTTCCTGTGACCTACACAAGCAGGCTTGCTCTGGTTGTAAGTACAGGAAAGTTTTAAAGGCTGGTCGTATGTATGTAGGGCAGTTACGTCACCAGCAATTATCTTCCGAGATGCAAAATCTCCCAAGTCTGAGCAGAAATCACACCGCCTTTACCAAGAGTCTGGTCCTTGCTTGGTATTGGATTTTCTTTCCTTTGTTTCTTGCTTTCGTGCCTACTTTTTTGTTTGTTTTGAGGGGGCTTGTTAATGCATTATTATTGTAACTGCGTGAGGATGTCAGATCCCAGAGAACTGGAGTCAGACAGTTGTGAGCTATCATGTGGGTGCTGGAAATTGAACCCAGGCCCTCTGGAAAGGAAGCCAGTATTTTCACTGCTGAGCCTTCTCTCCAACCCTAGTATTAGACTTTCAAACAACTCCAGATATAGTCCTTGGAATCGATTCTGATGAGGCATTCTTTGATTAAAGTCAGTAAAAGTAGACACGGATGATAACACAAAATCTAATCATTTGGAGCCTCAAGATCCTCTTCATGCCATAAATCATTTTCAAACAATTTTCTACATCAAAAAAAAATAGTAAAAATAAATTCGAATATAGAAGGAGTGGAGAAATGTTTGCTAACTTCATGCTGTTTGAGTAATTATACATGTAGCATCAGGAACAGCAATTCTAATTCAGAAGCCACTTCAGATCTATATTCAGAGCAAACATTGTCTAGGACAGGATAAAGTAATCATTGTGAAAATGAGTACAGTTGGGAAGCATAGACATTGTAACTCCTTCGTGAAGTGTTTTACAGGCTGTGTGAGCCTCTTCTAGCTCTGGTCTGGAATACACAGAATTTTTGTTACAGATATGATCGCTAATTTTTATTTTCATTGTTGATCTGTAGCAATTATTTTTAGTTGATTGAATAGACTACAAAATAATTAGAAATAAAGAGCTGCTAGGACAGTTTCAGTACATTTGTAAGTTGAAAAAGTAAGTCAAAACTGTATTAAAAAATGACTACCCTAATTCGCCTTATCCAGAAGCTAGCCAACAGTGTATTATAGGAATCATTTGTTTCCCCTCCTGATCATATGACCGACTAAAAGGGCTGCACCAGAGAAAAGATTTAAAAAGTAAAATTTCTCCAGAATGCATTAACATTCCCTCCACCATCTTCAAATCGAAAATTCCTATGTTGAACCGTATGCTTCTGCCAATAATTTCCACTAGTGCAGTCCCAATCTCAAGACAAGATTATCTGTCTAACCAGATCAGTGTCTGCCTGAC